CACTTCCCTGGGATGTCAGTGGGGAACCCGGGGAGGAACCTGCCCTTTGCATTTCTTTTTCTCGTCTGTCTGCTTGTCTTTTTGTCTGTTTTCTCCCTCTTCGTCTCTTTCTTCCTTCTGTTCTCTCTTCGTGGGGTCCTTTCAGTAACATCTTGCTCACGCATATGTTTCCCTTCTGTCTTCTCTCGCCGCCTTTCATTTTCCTTCCTTTCTTTCCATCTCTCCCACTTTCTGGCTTGATTTTCGTGCCAAACTGCCTTGGGAAATCCGAACAGAATTTCAGTGTTGGTGGACATCGTGTAACTTTCTAGTCAGGGTATTTGCTTTACTTAACCGATGTCAAATGATTCTTTAACTGAACTTCAACTTGAAGGTTGACTGAGTTCGTCAAGTCCATGGCTCTTAGAGTAAAGTCTGCAGTTTAAACCTAGTCGTTGGCACCAACACGAATGATGTTCTCAGGGAGAGGCAGACTCCAACCAAGGAGGGAGCACACTCCGGGAAGGCAAAGAAGTGCAATGTCTGGCGGGGCCCCCCCCTCCCCATTCTCCCCAGTTTGTTAGTTGATAATGACTACTTTGAGTTAACAGTCTCTGTATCCTTGAACTTAAAGAACGAAAGTAACTAAGAAGTAACAATTAGACAATAAGCAGTTTGCCTGACTAGCAGTGTCTAAGAGAACTCTCATAAGTGGCATAAAGGAAAATACATCATTCCAGTCAGTAATAAATATCTTGATAGTCGACATGCTCTCCCAATTTTGATGAAATTTAACGTTGACTAAGACCTTTATGTTGATGTGATCTCAGTGTTTGCATCTGCTCTTTACAGCCAACATGCAATTCGCACATGGGCTTGAGTATAAGCGAAAACGGACAGCCTTCACGCGCCACATGATCCTTGAGCTGGAGAAGGAGTTCCTCTTGAATCAGTACCTCACGGGCAGTCGAAAGAAAGATATCGCGCTGAGGTTGCGCCTCCCGGAGCAGCAAGTCAAAATCTGGTTCCAGAACCGGCGGCAAAAGTGGAAAAAGTCGAAAATGAAAAAGGACGACGGATCGTGGAAGGGGGCGAGTCCCGACCAGTCTCCCGGGAGCCAGAGCTCGCAGTCGGGCCAGGTGTCGGGGCTGTCCCAGCACTTCTCTCACCAGCAGGCTTACTCGCACCAACAGCAACGCACACCGCAGCAGGAACAGCAAAAGTCATCAGAACCGAGGGCAGGACAACAGACGTCACCGCAGGGTCAGGGTTGGTCAGGTCATACATCAGGCTTCGGCCACCTGAGCGGCAGGGTCGTGCCCCCTGGCCTCGTGCCCATCACTTTGCCCTACACTCGCGCCGCAGCCGGGGGGCACACGCCCACCACCAACCCAGGCGGGACGAGGGACGCGGCCCAGGCCAGTCAGACGCCCTCTAAATCCTCCAGCTTTGACTCACTGCTTTAGTGCACGCTCTTGTCCTGTAGTTTGTTACAGATTTTACATGTTGTTTCTGCCAGTGTGAGAGTGTTGCTGCCCGAGACCCCTCCTTCCCCAAGACCGCTGTCGCAGCAGCTCCCCTGCTATGCGCCTCCACTGCCAACTCTTTTGTTTGTCCTTGCCTCGTCTGTTTAGCTCGCAATATTTAAATGTTTGTGTGACATCACTGTAATACAATTTTGTCCAAGGGGGCAGGGGAGGACTAGCAGCGGTGGGCTGTTGCTCGAGACGGTAGAGGAGGAGACACCCGTCTCAGGATTGAGTGTCTTTGTGCTATTCCTAAGACAGTTGGTGCGCCTCGCAGCCACAGCCTGCCTGGACGGTTTAACCCGGGAGAGTCATTATGTAGCACACGTTCATCCACAAATACCATATGTTAACCACATCCCTTGATGCATTGTGTACCAAAATATATTGATATGTATTCAGACCGATCTGCCATTTGGGAGTGACCGCAGGCATAGGCTGCAAGTTGCGTAGCTTCTCATTTACTGTGAGTGGATGTGGAGGAAGAGGAGCGAATCTCCCTGGTGTGTTGTGCTTTGTGTTGACATCATTATTGGAAGTGCTTGTGGCTCGGGGCGCCGTTATAACAAAAACCTCGCAGGCCGGTGATGGGCCACCTTACACCTTAGTGACTGTAAAGCCTTGGCTATTAAGTTATAAAATGTTTGTCGGTGGTTGAAGAGTATTATACCACGTGTATAATGCCTGCATATTTTCATATGTTAAGTTGTCTTGATTGATTGATAGAGAATGCCATATGTACATTGTCAAAATATTTTCATAATTTGACGTGATGTCACCTAAATGGACAATTTAAAATCTAGTTTTACCCATTGATCATACGGACCAGTAGCTAGATAGAGCAATATGCAACGGACGTGGTAACATACTAATTAGAGGTAGGCCGTAGTCCCATCACCAGTCAGGACGGCACGCTGGTTGATCTGGCTGCACGCGACTCCGCTCGCCGTGCAAGCCTTCGTTTCTTCTCTGTTTCTGAGGCGTTGAGGTCATCTGACTCGGGCGCGCGCGGCCCAACTTGATTAAAGACATTTTGGATGCGTGTTGTGTGCCGGTAACGTATGAGTTCTTCACCCTGTGACCTCGCCTCGCCGTCATCGCCTGGCCACCAGTCAGCATGTGCTCAGAGAGCAGGCATTACCCGGCTGTCAGCATGACGCCGCCCTCCCCGCAAGGGCGCGCGGTCCCGAAAAGCTCTGAAGGTTCCTAGACGGGTCTCGCGGGCCAGACGGTGATACCGCAAGGACGCGAGGGAGGTAAACCAGGATCTGATTTCGATTCACAAACTAGTGAACTTTTATCCAATGTCGTCATGATACTTGTACTACAGCACTACCAAAGCAGCACATGCGGTTGTACAAAATGGGGGAATGATTCCTCCGATCATTGTTTGGAGATTTGATTGTATTTAGGACTTAGTTGATATTTAGGTTTGCCTGTGCTTTTCAAGTGTGTCAACATCGCAGAACTGGAATCATAATGATGTGCGTCTTTCTATGATTTGATGTCCAGTAATCGGAGTGTGCGTTGATGAGGAGATGCCAGACTCGTGCATCGCGACGCCGCCCAGACTCCCTCTTGCACGCCCAACCGACTCACGCCCACTGAGGCCGCGTATCATGGAGCAATAACTTTGTCGGACAAGACTGTATTTGTTAAGTTTCTTGATGCCATTTACACATACACTCGTACATCACACAAACGGTCATAGTAGAATACTTTTGATTTATTAAGGAACATTTAATGGCGCAATACATTTATTTCTTCAAATGATAGGCTGTTGTTATTTCCATTTTTTATAGTTAATGCTATTAATATTATTATCAATATTATTTTTAATGTTGATGTTGATAGTAGTATGTAACGTTAACTGTTACAAATGTTATGCATTTTAATGATTATTATGGACCGTTGTCAAGGTAGACGTTACTTTAATGTATGGCAACTTTAAAAGGATTTTAGTAGTTTCTCCACACAGACATAGCCACATGTGAGACCTTTAGTTCTCGTTTTACACACGACAGTCACTGTTGTCACAGTACATTTTATTGTTATTGTTATATATCCGTGAATGGATTGCAAACACGGATGTAGTATCCGCCTTTATGGGAACTTCGGTGGCGAAAGTAAGTGCGTATGTTTTGTTGTGAGTACGTTTTTTATAGTTCGAATGTGTGTGTGTGTTTGTGTGTGTAATCCTTGTATGTATGTCTTGCATGAATGTGTGTCCGTGCGCATGTACATGTGCATCCTTGCATGTATGTCCTGTATGAGTGCGAGTGTCTTTCGGCGTGTGTGCATCGACCTCCTGTTCATGTGTGTGCATTCAAGCAGCGACAGTGGAGAGGGAGGCACTGGAGGCCATGGGTAGGGCTTGTTCCCGGGTGACTGCAGTCGCTCCCCTGGTGCGACCTGGGCGGCATAGTTTGCGGTACAGGAATCGAACAGACAGAATAATGTAACCACAAACTAATGGCTTTAAATCAAACGCACATGTGTTATCCACACAAAAGGATGAAGTATTATGAAAAAGCTTTACAGCTTTTTGGTAGCTTTTTGGTTATTATGGATAAGTATTCATGGTTTAATGTTTGATGACATTAAGGTGAAACTGTACATGATAGATTATATGATTTATTATTAAGTGTAGTCAGAAGTGCAATGGAGATATTCGAAATAATGTAACAAAGTCAAAATTTAAAGTCTGATTATTTTAATTATGAAATATCTCATATACAAGACTGTATATCTACAACATGGATAATGATAAGTGATTTGGTTTCAATTAAACTACTTGTATATAAAATGGTTGTTTTATTTTATGTTCCTTATTTGCTGAAATAGTTCATAAACAAAAATCAGTCTTTAGGCCTATCAACCGGCCAAAAGACTGAATTTGCTGAAGAAGAGAAATCCAGTGATGGCAAGAAATCCATGACACGGTGCACCTGAAAGTTGGGTTCAGTTCAACATTTTTCCGGCGCTTCACTGACAGGGACGACTGCTGATTTAGCTTTACGAAAGAGTGGGGCCCAATGTCGGAATGAATGTGGCGAAGCCTAACCGAAACAAGGTAGTTCGGTTATTATTGGCGCATCTGACACGGGGTTTAGGGGAGGTAGAGGCCTTTGGGTGTGCGAGTGGCACAGGAGTGGACGCAGCGTTACATTGGGAAAAAGGTTGTGTACATGGGAAGGGCATGAAAAAAGATAAGTGATGTTGCAATTGATAGAATTGACAAAGAATTGAAGAATCTGATGAACATGTCGTCAGGAATTGACAAGATGTACCAAGGGTAGAATTAAAACACCGTAAAGGCAGCTATCTTTTGGGAGAGAGAAAAACAAATAGATGCTGAAAGATGTATAAATACGTGTACGGTAAGTCATTTCCGATTCCGGCCGATTTTTTAAATATGATTTTTCTGACGATTTAGGGGATGGTGTACGGAAGAGATTTGTATCACAGGAGGCTCGATGTTCGCTTACTCTGATACTGACGGTGGCGGACGTCTGCGTTGGCGACCACAGTTGCAGGCGCCGATGCACTGTGCTTTCAAGATCAGTGTAATGGGTCCTTGGGTTACGTGCAACCCCTTCCCGTCGGAGAATGGGTCTTCGCAGACACAGTGCACGCAAAGGAACGAAAGGAATGGGGAGAGATTATATATAGGACGGGCTGTTGCAACGTCCAACGCTGGAGGCCTCCATAAGGAGGTTCCCCGACCCACGAGTCCCCTTCCCTCCCTAGTTGCACGCCACGTTGAACCTCGGAGGGTGTGGCAGAGAGCCAGGTGACCCACGGGGTAGGCTCTTCAGACGTCTTAGGGTTGTCCGGGGAGAACAAGGTTTATGGACGAAGTCGTTTGACAGTCTGCTGTGGTTGTTGCTCTATTATTATTATTATTATTATTATTATTATTATTATTATTATTAGTTATTTTTGTCAACATTTCGTTTTTTTCATCGAGTTGAGAGTCATTGTGTTACCATTTTATTACAATGTATTACTTTTTTATAGTATGTTTTATTAGTACAGTATCATATTTATCAATATCAGTCATCATTAGGCCTCAATTTTCATTATTGCTTTATTTGTAGTGTTATAGTATTATTTTTTAAGTTTAATGTTTGTGTCTAATTTTTATATTGTTATTATTATTATTATTATTATTATTATTATTATTACTTGTTAATAATTTTACTGTTTATATTGCTGTTATTATAACTATATTTTATTATTGCGATTATCATTGTTCTTATTATTAACAATATTCTTGTCATTACCTTTATTATTATTATTATTTTGTTGCTTTAGTTTTAAATATTCTTTTATCTTTAATCTTAATCGTTTCATTAGATCGAGGCGCCGTCTCGTTTGTTTGTGCTCCACACCACTGCCATCCTGACGGCGGTGTGGGGGGGGCGGGGGGACCTCGAGGGCCTGAGTTTGTCTCGCAGAGATGCCCCCCCCCTTTCTCTTTAGTTCAGAATGTCAGTTCATGGGCTCGGTCTTGGTTATGGGGAACTGTTATTGTGTGAGTTAGATGAGTTTGTTAGTGAGTTTGCTGTGTTTATGTTTGTTCAGTGGTCGTATTTTGTAACTTCTTTATTATTATTATTATTATTATTGTTATTACTATTATTATTATCATTATTGTTGTTGTTGTTGTCGTTCATTATTTTCGCTAAAGTTTGTATGTGTGGATGTGCATTTAACGTAACCATTTTATTTTTATCATTTTCTGTTTTTGCATGCTATGTATAATGAAGCCGCGCGCTATTTTATGTATGATTTGCAGCTTCAGTGGGTTTAAGTCGATTGCCGCAGAACGGTGCAGCAGCTGGTTTGTGTGTGTGGCAAAGAGAGAGAGAGAGAGAGAGAGAGAGAGAGAGAGAGAGAGAGAGAGAGAGAGAGAGAGAGAGAGAGAGAGAGAGAGAGAGAGAGTGTCGACTGATGATTCACAGAGAGTGTGTCGGATTATTTAGAGTATGCAATGTGCTTGCCGCCCTACGTCCCGCCTGGCTCACGGTAATGCACGTTGCCCCCGCCCCCTCAGAGGCCTTCGACTCGGTCATGCCGCGGTTGTGACCTGGGTTAGCTCTTCCTCGAGTGTCTTCCTCTGTAGACTTCCCCCTCAAAAGATTTAAGTCGTCTCATGTAAGAATGTTTATGGCTTGCTTCAGAAAGTATAGATTTGGAATTCATATTCTAAGGAAATATACTTTTGCATATACTCCTATTAGGAACACAAAGCCTGAGAATTCGTGTAGCCAAGCCGTCTTTGTAGGCGCCTCCTCGAATCACACACGAGTGGCGCAGGCGATCAATTAGGTATGCGATAGAGGTCATCCCGGGCCCACATTGTACGGCATGGCAGTCCCTGCGGCGAACGCGGGCGCCCCTCCAAGGGCGGCTTCCGAATGCGGCCATTCCGCCAAGCCTCCGTCGGGAGAGATGCCGCCCCGTCGCTCTCTATGGCTCGGGTCCTCGAACTCTTTGGCGGCCCGAGGGTGGAGGCTTCAGAATGTGCCCGGGGCAGCCCCTCTTGTGTCAGAGCGGTCCAGTAGTGTAGTCAAGGTAGCTGAGTTGTAATATAAAAGACCCTCCCTTTTCCCCTCCCTCCCCCTCCTCCCCTCTCTTCCCCCCGGGCCAGTAGTAGCACAGTAAGGTAGTCCAGCCATAGTACAACCCGGTTTTTCTCCTTTTGCAGGTGAGACGGAACTGAGAAAAGCCTACGACAGAGAGAGAAAGGTGTGTCCGGTTTGTCAGAAGACGATCACGGCCAAAAACATAGCGCGCCACATACGCACTCACGGCAACATGGCCAAGTTAGAGTCCGTGTACGAGAATCTCGACCTGATCGACTGTGCGTGGATACCGGAGTGAATCGGCACGAGTCTTTAGAAAAAAAATAAACAGTCCTGGAATTGAAAAAAAAAATCATTCAAATCTGTGTGCAGATGAGGAAACGATGAGTGTGTGTGAGAGAGAGAAGAGTTTATTTATGCGGAGGCTTTTTTTTCTTTTCTTTTCTTTATTCCTAAAAGAGATGTGACTTGTCTCTGCGTCGGGTGCTGTGAAGTTCGGAAGGGCTCGTCCCGAAGACTGCGTCACAAAGCCAAAAGGATATGGGCTGTTAAATGAAAAGTACCTTTTGTTTTCCAGATTAGATTTAAGTAAGTTGACTATTCTGAATTATATATATTAAAAGACTATATTTTTAATCCAGTGTTGTGAAGTCAAAAGTTAAATTTAAGTGCGCAGGTAAAGTTCGACAAAAAGTGGAATAAAGTGAGAGTACTCTTCCACCTCTGACGTCACGGGCCTTCGTGGCATGTCTGGTGTGCGCGTCAGGATCATCATCGTTAATTGAAGTATCTGAAGAGTATGTCATATTGTCGTAATGTTCCTTGGATGTCATGTATTTGGTAACACGGTTACTTCAGTGACTTTGTTTTTACTCGAGAGGGTAGAGAGATTGAGTATAAGGACCACATTTCCCCCCTTTTTACTTTTATTTTTGCTCCATTTTATTATTATTGTTGTTATTATTATTATTATTATTATTATTATTATTATTATTATTATTATTATTATTTAGTTTTATGAGTCTCGCCATCCTAATAGTCGCCAGGTTATAGCTGCTCTTCTACGCTTTGATTTCTTGTGTGTAGCAGGGGACCACAGTGTATTGCGAACAGCGACACGTACAAGGTTGAGTGAGTGAGTAGTCAATTAGAAGGGAAGTTGGGCGCCCTCCCGCCTTTCCCGCTGTGCTTTCGTGCCCACCGAGGGAAAGGGAGTCGGGGGAGATAGCGAATTTCGTAGCTTTTGGATACCAAGTAATTACCGTTTTAGTTTAGATTGGATCGGAGCTCATCGGTGTTATTGCAGACCAAACCGGGGATAGGAGGGGGTAACGCTGGTTATTGGTAGCAGCTTCATCAAAACTTTCTACCGAGCGGGGGTTGAATTTTCCTAAGTAATAGCAACGGTGACTTTGGCTGTTGGGAGGGGATTATAGTTTTATATACAGTTGTAGTCTTATTTAATATTTATTCACGTCAGATATGCTCATGGTTGATGGTTGGAGATGAGCTGTGCATCATGGTATGCGGGCCAAGCAAGAGGCTCAAACCTCAACTCGCATATTAACGGCAGTACTGTACCTGTACCACCTGCTCTCGGACCCTCACTCATGCAATAAACCATTACATTATTGTGGTGTCTCTTACGTTGCAGGCATTGTGTTGCTGACCCATACGACAGTGCATGCTATTAGTTCACTCCAGGCCCAAGGCGGCCCCGTAGGACACGTTTTTGAGAAGTGTCGCAGGCTAGGCCGATCGGAGGAGGGCGAGGGCCTTTGTGCCCTCCGAGACTTCCTCCGGCAAGGCCCTCTCGAAGGTGCCTTCCCCCGGGGGACGGTCCCGCGTCGCCTGCACGAGGGCTTAGCCTGTGACAGTTTCCCCCTTTTCAATGTGATCACTCTGAAGTTGAATAATTTATATCACTAGTATTATACTATTTGACATAATTGCTACGCCAGTTTGTTATACAAGGTTCATGAACTGGACGTATCTTAGACTATGTTATTTACGTAAATATTTCCTGTTGATTATTGTCAGTACATGATGTAATCTTGTATTGAACATTTTCTTTATGTTTGCCTTTCCTAATTATGAAGTTTGGCATTGTTTTGCACAAAATAAATGAGTAGTTTTACAAAGTGTGTTTTATCTGTATACCCAGAGACGAAGCAGCTAGTTGTAAAAACATCCCAGATGAAAGTGTCGAAATATA